ACACCAGTAATGGATTTCAGACTATTTTTATATATTAATATACAATAAAATATTTAAGCATTTTGATGAAGAATGCTAAAATGAAATAAGTCAATTAGACTAAAAGGTGGGGTTAGAAGGACCATGTGACAATCAGCATTGTATCTCTGTGACCAAAATGCCTAACAATAACAACTTAGAGGAGCAAAGATTAATTTTGACTCACAGTTTTAGAGTGTTCAGTCCATGGTTCACCAGCTCCACTTTCTGGGACTGAGGTGAGGCAGAACATCATTGTGGTAGGAAAACTGCTCAGCTCATGGTGGCCAAAAGGCAGAGAAAATGGCAGGGTTGGGGCAGGCACAGATCCCAGTGACCCACTTCCTTCAGCCATGCCTCACCTGCCTACAGTTACTATCCACTTGGTCTATTCAAACTACAATGAACTAGTTAAGTCATAGCTCTCATAATCTAATCATTCACCTCTTATTATTCTTGCATTAACAGAGGAGCTTTGACAGGACTCCTCATATTCAAACCATGACAGACCATTTAGACAATGTGCTATTTTCTCCCCCTTTATTTTTCAGGTTAGGCACTAATATAGTTCTATGACATCTGCCTATTCTTATGTGACATGTGTCCTGAATTAAAATCCTGGGGTCATAAATATGGTTATTTCTTTGCTTTCCAGAACAAACTATCTCAAGTACTCACTAGAAAGAATAAAAGGAAATTCCATGCAGTTTTCTTATTGCTTTTTGGACTTTCCCTTGGGTCATGGGTTGCCTAACTAATTGTTTAGCATCTTACTCAGTCCAGAGGTAGATTTTCTGTTTTGATATGCCCTTTACTGACAATAATTGTGTGGTTGTATTTAGCTAATGGGAAGCACAAGTAGGAGACTGGACTAGGCAGGGAGATGTTGGGATATTAATTCCCTTAGCTACCTCATTGCCAGGCTGCATGTTGGCAATGTCTTTATTCTTCTACCAAAGTTCATAGCTTCTCTTGAACAACCCCTCCTGTAGCTACAGATATGCTTGAGGTGGCCATGATCTCCATTGTCCAACCTGAGTCATCTTTTAGACTAAAGAGAGTTTTACAGGTGACTTTAATTAAATCAGGCTTTAACATATTTATACCTGGACAGATTGGTTTGATGTTTGGACCTTTAAAATAGTATTGCTTAGTTTGAGACCATCCCATTTATTGATTATTGATTTTATTTCTTGGGGTTTAGGAGTCTTATTGAGGAAGTCGGTTCCTAAGTTGACATGCTGGAGAGTTGGGCCTTCTTTTTCTTCTAGTAGGCAAAGAGTCTCTGGTCTAATTCCTAGGTTCTTGATCCACTTTGAGTTGAGCTTTGTGCAGGGTGAGAGATAGGAGTTCAATTTCATTCTACTGCATATGGATTTCTCTCTGATATGTGGATGCTAACCCACAACAAGGGAGGGGAAGATTAGAAGTTCATTGGACTAGACAAAGGGGAATGAAGGGAAGGATGTGGGGATGGTAATAGGAGAGACAGTAGAATGAATCTGACATATCATTCCTGTCCTCATATATAAATACATGACTAATGTGAATCCACATCATGTACATCCACAATAATGGAATCCTAATTGGAACAAGTTTTACTCATTCTACCTATGTATAATATATCAAAATACACTCTACTCTCATGTATATCTAGAAAGAACAAGTTAAAAACTAGTATTATTTTTACATTTTTCAAAACTGAAATTGCTTCTGAAAGAAAAGGTATTTGTATATGTTAATGGAAATTTTAGAACTTTTAAATATTTTGCCAATTTTAGATACAACAACAAATTCACTGCTATCCTTAATTTCCTTCAATTTTGTTATACAATATAAATGAAAAATTATATTTTCCAATGACAAATAAGAGCTACATTAAGAGAGTCTTACCACACTGTTCTATTCTTATGTGGCATGTGTCCTGAATTAAAAGCCTGGGGTCATAAATATATAACCATCTAATTTCAAATTTGTAAACAATTTGAGCTGTGATATATATATTTTTTCACAATCTCCATTTTTTAAAAAATTTTATTATCATTATAGATGGACACAATACCTTTATTTTATCCACTTTTTTGTGGTGCTGAAGATTGAACCCAGTGCCTCACACATGCTGTACAAGCGTTCTACCAATGAGCTACAGTCCTAGCCCCACAACCTCCATTTTTTATAGATAAATTGCAACATTTTTCTCTTTGGAAATTTCATATCCATAATTATAATTCTCCAAAGACTTTAAAACTGAATTCTGATGCTGTTTGTTGAATTTTCAGTTGAAGATTTCCAACTGATTTTACTGATTTGAAAGGACTCGTTTCAAAACAAAAAACACTTGCACAGTAGGACAGTTGGGCTTACTTACACAGTAGTCCTTTAGAAGATCAAGCATGCTTGAAATCTGGGCTAGGGATGTAGCTCAGTGGTAGAGTGTTTTCCTAGCATGCATGAGGACTTTTGTATTCAGCCCCAAAAGATTTGTAGTTCAGTTATTTTGAATATATAAAATACATGAACACTCATTTTGTACATTTTGATTACTATACCTTCAGTTTCAATTAGTTGAATGCCATACATAGTATGTTTGCATGAAGTAATGAATTATGTTTGTACCACAACCAATTCTAAGTACATTTCTGCTCTATCAATTTCTTAATTCCTAAGAACCACGTGGTTTACTATGATGCCTTTTTCCAAATTTGTATTTGCATTAGAAGTACAAAAACAATTTTACCTCCACTATAGGACTTTTTAACTGAATTTACAATAGCATTCTTAGTAATGTCATATATTTCACTTCTGCCAGAAAAAAACTTCCATTACTGGAATTTACCTAACTCTTTTTCCTTTTTAAAACATCTGCCATCATATAACTCTTTGTGAATTCTTCTAGTGGAGCTAACCTAGTAACAGCTGTTGCTTCATTTTTTTTCTAATGTACCTAAGAAATATTGGAATAAAATTGTTGAAATTATGTTATAGCAGACTTTAAAAGTCATGGATCATAGAATTATATATAAATGTACTTTTTTGTAGTTTCTCATGATAACTTGTTGTCTTTGGGCATGATGTTCTTAAAATATTTAATAAGTTATGAAGTAAATGCTTCAGCACATTTGGGTCCTCTGCTTTTCCTGTGGTTTAGTGATATCACTACAACCTTCACAGTAGAGGAGAAATGTTGACAGATTATCTTAATCTGCTTGGGCTTCCATAACATAAGACCATCAACTGGGCTTAACAGAAATTTATTTTCTCAGTGTTCTGAAGGCTAGAATTTCAAGAATAGACTACCATGGGTTTTGTTTCTGGTGAAGGCTCTCTTCCAGGATTGCAGATAGCTGCCTTTTTACTATGTCCTCACATGACTTTCCTCAGTGCATGCATACATAGAGAAAAAGAAGGAACAAGTTCTCTGGTATCTCTTCTCATAGGGACACTAGTCCCAATTCGGGGTCCATCCTTATGATCTCACTTAAGCTTAGTTACTTCCTTAGGGTCTCTGTCTCCAAAAACAACCACACCAGGGCTCAGTGCTCCAACATATGAATTTGGGGATGAGGGGAAACACAAACATTAATCCCATAACACAGATGTATTGCACAAGCCATGTATTCATCAACTTCTTTGGAAAGCCAATTAATTACTCATTTTCCCTAGGCATGCACTTTTTTTAAGCTCATTGTTGCCAAAAGGTTTTATTGAAAACTTAAAGGAAGTGTGTTAGCTTGACATCACTATGACCAAAATACCTGACAACAACATCTTAGAGAAGGGAGTTTATTTTGGCTCATAGTTTCAGAGAGTTTCAGTTCATGGTCAACTCACTCTATTAATTTGTGCCTAAAGTGAGGCAGAACATCATGTGAGAAGGGCATGGCAGGAGGAAGATGCTTTCCTCAGGACAGCTGGAAGGCAGAGAATGATATGGAAAGAGGTTGCAGGGCAGATACATGCTTCTAGGACATGCTCCTAGTGACCTACCTCCTCCAGCCATACCCCACCTGCCTACAGTTACCAGCCACTCCATTCAAACTAGAGTGAACTGATTAGGTTATAGCTCTTATATTCTGATCATTTTACCTCTGCATGTCCCTTTGTTAACACAGGAGCTTTGGGGGGATACCTAGTATCCGAACCACAACAGGAAGGTTGCCAAATTATTAAATAAAGAAATAGTTATAAATTTACACCCTAGTAAGAGCATTAGGACTGATATCTATGTATTAAGACATCTACACTGTTCTTTCCCTTAAGTGTTTCATGTAAACCTAACCTGCAGTATCCCAAATAACCCAGTGATCCTGCCAGCTTGATGATCTGACAAAAATCTTGCCTTTTTAAGGCCATGGCATAGACCATGGAGTGAAGAGTGGTCTAGTAAGGGGCTGGCTGGGCCAGGAGCCTCTGATACCTCTCATCACTTTGTGAGATGTTGGAGTTAGCTTTCCATAGTCACTCATGTCTAAGGACACTGTTTTATGATCAAGCATATTTTATGTGCTCCTTAGAAGGTGGGTGTTAGCTACCTTGTATCTGAAATGAATATGGACATGAGAGACATATTACTCATGATTGTATTTCAGATTTTACCATATTAGTGAGATTTCTGTTATCTGTGACAGTAAAAAAAAGTAGGGCACAGCCTACTTTCCACACAACTCTAATGAAAATGGAAAGTAAATAGATGTTCCCTGTCCTGGATAAATTCTTTTTATTAAGAAAGTTTTTAGAGAGCCGAGAATGGGAGAAGAGCAGAGCTGCTGAGCGCCCCGGCGAACTCCTCTCCTCTCTCCTCACCTCGCTCTCACGGCCCGCCCACCCGCCCGCCACCTGCTCGCCGCCCAGAACATCTTCCATCATGGCCACCTCAGCAAGTTCCCACTTGAACAAAGGCATCAAGCAGGTGTATATGTCCCTGCCTCAGG